TAGACAACACCAACCTTTTCTACATGTATCGTTGATATTTATTAGTCCAGCTATGAGGATTTTTGTTTCCTTCATGCTGAGGTGCAATCCATACTGAAGGCTGTAGTCTCTGATTTCATCAACAAGTGCTTCAAATCTTCTTCACTTTCAGCAAGCATGCTTATGTCATCTGCATGTTACAGGTGTTAATGACTCCACCTTCAATCCTGATGCTGAATTCTTCTTCATAGAGAACATTTTCTCACATTATTTTTTCAGCATACAGATTGAATAAGTATGGTGAAAGGATACAACACTGATACACACCTTTCCTGATTTTAAACCATACAGTATCTCCTTATTTTGTTTGAACTCCTGCTTCTTGATCTATTTACAAGTTCCTCATAAGCACAATTAAATTTTCTGGGATTCCCATTCTTCACAGTGTTATCCACAATTTTCTATGATCCACAAAGTTGAGCGGCTCTGATACGTCAAATAAACACAGGTAAACATCTCTACTAGTATTTTTTGCTTTCAGTTGCCTGACAAGCAATGATGTCCCCAATTCTACATCCTCTTATGAATCCAGCTTGAATTTCTGGCAGTTCTCTGTAAATATAATACTGCAATTGTTTTTTAATTATCTTCTGCAAAATTTTACTTGTGTGTGATATTAATGATATTGTTGGGTAATTTTCATATTGTGTTGGATCACCTTTCTTTGGATAGGGCACAAATACGGATCTCTTCCAGTCAGTTTGGGCAGGTAGCTGTCTTCCAAATTTCGTGACATAAACAAGTAAGCACCTCCAATGCTACATTCATTTGTTGAAAAATCTCAATGGATATTGTGTCAATTCTTGGAGGCTGGTTTTCTTTTTTTTTGCCAATTTCTTCAGTGCAGCTTGGACTTCTTCCTTCAGTACCATTGGTTCTTGATCATATGCTACCTCCTGAAATGGTTGAATGTCCACCTTTCATACTCTTCATACAGAATGTCGACCTTTCATACTCTTCACTCTTTCATACAGTGACTGTGTATTTCTTCTATCATCTATTGATGTTTCTTGTATTATTCAATATTTTACTATAGAATCCTTCAGTATTACAACTCAAGGCTTGCAGTTTTTCCTCATTTCTTCCAGCTTGAGAAATGCTGAGCATGTTCTTCTCTTTTGATTTT